TCTAAATTGTTACAGCCAATTTCTTTCGGTATGTTTAAAGCTAGAAATATGCCAAAACGTCAGCTTGTAAAGTGACGTTATGATATAGCTTCAGCTAAATTTCAAATCAGTAATGATACATGACTACTTATTTCAACACAGATATAAAACTGCTACGGTTTGAGGTTTTGGCTCACCAACCATACGCTTCGGACCAAAGTTGAAACATTCATTTAATTCCAGATCATGAAGTGGCATCAATAGGGATCGTAAGGATTCCGTTTTGAACAATCCCAATTTGTAATATCGTCAATTAACAGGTACTTTTTTGCTGCAACCTACGAAAGATTGATTAGCACGCATATAACGTGTGAACATCATTTGTGTGAGTACGTAGAGAAAGTGCAACTTCCTATTTTGTTATGACGTTTGACCTTGCTCCGGATATTGGTTACATTTAATCCTAAGAATATTAGATTTAACATAAATGTTTCTGAATTTTACGGATTACACAAAAAATGTTGATAATTACAAATATGTTATTTGTTTGTAGTTTCCGTGAAAATTGAGCATTGGATAAAGAAATAATACGAAACTACCTAACAACCCTCGTACTTCTATGTCAAATCTGAATTACCTATAACATTATCATAATTTGACCCGCTGTTCTACAGATGTGACTTTGCATAGAGATAATCAACCAGACAATAGTACGTGGATTTGAACGTTCATTTTCAAATTATGTTATCTCACATTAATGTTTTCCCTAATTACGTAAATGAGAGTTAGCAGGGAGTTTAATTTTGTGATCAGCGATCCGACAAAAAATTATAGGAAACTTGAAAATTTAGTTGTGTTTATCCGCTTATCTCTTTAAAATACACGTTAAACAAGCTTAGTGCTGAAAGTTTATTGTATATTTCACTTAAGGTATTACCATCCTAATGCATTACCTCCGCTTTGAAGAGTATTCAAATAGGCTAGAACTACCGTTAACTACATTGAAAATGAGGGCCGTGGGTTCAATCCCCAGATGGATCAACTTTTTTTCTTTCTTTTAACATTATTTATGTATCTCTCATGTCCCATTTGGAAAGAAAAAAATGTTTAATTTTGATTTTTTTTAATTTATATAGGTATTTATTGGCTGAATTATGCTAAATCTAGTAAAAAAATATGGTTCCTGATATTTTCAAAGCGTAATAAAATCAAAACAAGACGGTAAAAGTATTTCATATTTTACAAGATCAACTAATATACTGCTTTAAAAAAATTAGGGAAACTTTGAAAACAGGCACTCATTTGGGTAAATTGTAAGGATTTTTTAAATTAGGCTCCCTAAATAGGAAAATGGTCAGAAACTTGGTAAAAATGGGTGTGGTAGGGTAACATTTTTATACAGATTTCATAAAATTTAAGTAGAAACCATAATTTTGCTTATTTGGATTGTTAGCTGAATGTTATTATTTGTTCCTTACCAAAAATTAATGTGAAAACAGTTTTCATTAGAATGTTATTGCAGATTATTTTAAGGTTCCTCATTTCTAAAAAAAGGGCCCTCATAACATCCTAGCTTGAGTTTAGAAAAGTGGCCATAACTTGATTTCCGTACGGTAAACTTTGTTTAAATTATGCATACAGGTGTACTTTAAGGAATATATCTGAACTATGATGTCAATTTTTTAGTTCCTTATAGTGCCAATTAGGATCGTAATACCTTAAAATTATTGTTCAAACTATATGATTATTTTTCTTGAAGAACTTTATACATTTTATCCTAGTACAGTGTAATATACGAATTATACAAAGAATTTTAGACCTTATAGCATTTTATGTCGGCCTCAAACACCGAACTGACCTCAGCATAATTTGAATATACTTAATTAAAGAACATATTTCCTCACATCCGGCATTTTGACATGGCCACACTGAAATTAAAAATTTTATTTGGGCAATGGTACGAACCACCTATAGTAAAAAACAAGCTCTGCACCAAGAAATGCAAAATTTACCTCAAAATCGCATTAGACACCTTACTGGTAGTATGAGAAGGGTTGAGGCTATCATCCGGACACGTGTCGGTTACACACCTTATTAAAACTTTGGCTACATAATGTCATTTTAGGTTATGTAACCGTCAACATTTACCAAATTTGTAAACGCTGCAACACCAAACGTATAAAACAAAATTTAAATTTTCGGGGTGTGCTTAACGTATTTCCAGGTGCATAAATAAAATCCAATTTCGAAACAAAAATAAAAACATGTTAAGAAGCTGACAAATGCGTTTGTTAAAATGATTTTTATTGATATAATGACATTTCTTTAACTCATACATTATAAAAGTAAGTTATTCTGAACGTGTTACTAGACCATCATTTGACAGAATGGAACGAAAATAATGTGTCCGTTTTGTTTCTATTAAATGCTGTGTTGAAAATGTGTCTTTACATTAAAATATCGGTAATTCATGTGCTATTGATTTAAAAGGGAAAAGACCGGATCGGAAATATTTTTTGAGATTTGTGTACCATTTAAGTTATGTCTGAACAAATAACTGTATCAACAGCTCAGACCATTCGCTCACTCCGGTTTTACAGAAAATCATTTTGGTTTTGCAAAATAACCAAAAAAAATGAAAACGCTTTTACTGAATTACGAAATCGCGAAAGAAAATTTAATTACAGTACATATCTTCGTTTTACAGTGTAGCAGTTGATCTATGTAAGAAATTAAAGTTTTATGTTTTTAAGTCTTTGGACATCGGACCTTATGGAGCTCCTTTAAGATATTTTGCGCCCTATGTTATAGTTTCTATTAGTCAAACATGTCTGTCATATATATTGTTGTCTAGCTCTAATGAAGTCTGGTTTTAATTGGGATACTTTAACAATAAGGGCACTCGAAAATAGAGATACGCGATGATTAAATGTGGCAATATAATATAGGTTACCTGAACTGTAACAGACGTTGAGAATCAGACAAGGTAAATATCGACTTGGAGAAATATTTTAAATAGAGGAAAGTATCAAGTTTCTTCCTCAATATTAGTCACAGACTAATTACAGTACTTTCCCTTCAGCAGTCATTTATCTCTACAGCGTGTCAATATAGTGGAGCACGTTTCATATTAATCAACAATAGTAATATAGATGAAGATGATGAAAACGATGTTCACGTTTATTAAGCTTTCGATAGTGTCTTGACATCTACATTTAAAGGCACATTATACCTCAGAAACGAATAATTGTTTCCTTCTTTAGAAAGAGCAAACATAAGTTGAATGACATTTAAATAACGGCTTAAGACCATGTGAGCTGCTTTTCACTTGAAGAAAGTAACTCTTTATGTGAAATTATTTATTATAAAAGTAGACAATACAAAATATTTACGATTTTCAATTCCATTGTTATTTTTTTTAAAAAAGTCATTACTTTCTATATTTTCATTTCACTGTATTTGATAATTTTATAATGTCCATCCGAAACGTGTGATGAACAGTTATACTATCATTTTCTTGACCTCTATTAAATACATAAATAAAGAAGTAACAAAGTAACAAATAGATGCGCTTGACTTTGATTAGCGGGTTTCCTTATCAAGCGAGTATGATTATGAAGTTGTTTAAACAAAGAGAAAACTAAAAAAAGACGAAAGTGTTGTTTAAAAAACAACAAAGCCCAGTTCAGAGGCACAAATGCTTTGAACCAGTGCCATAATTTCATTTATACATTTTTAATAAAAATATACAAACCATTATTAAGCAATTCAATGTTGTTATTTAGCAAATATATTGTTTCGAAAATTAGAACTTCTTACCCTAGATCAACATTGATAACCGTAATAAACATTATGTTGGTCGTAAACTTACTATAATATCGTGTAGTACATTACATGATAAGCTCAACAAAGTTGTGAGGATTATAAAATTTCATCGGTAGTTTTTCGATGCATGTTAACAGTTGATTGCATCATGTGAGTTAACATTTTATAAGTAACTAAAGATTTGCCTATTAATTGCCTCTGATTTTAATTGTGACAGATGAACAAATAATTAAAGACATATGATCTCTAAACATGGAAATATTTTAAAAAAATCTCATTTACTTTGACAATAAAATAGCTTCTTGCCAGGTAAATATCGACTTTCTATTGTTAAAAATGTCATCTGTAATAAACGAAACTATCAAGTTTCATTTTTAATAACGAGGCACTGAATATTGCTCATGTATTTTCTTAAAATTGTTTCTAAATGAGTCATTTACCTCACAAAATAGTCACTGATTCACTAAGCACAATCGTCTTGGATTTGACGAAGTATATTGTATGAGAGACGTTCATTTTTTAATATTAATTAAAGTTCTCAGAGCCGCATTTAGTAGCACAATAAGAACTACAGTAAACTCCAACTGTATCGATATCGCTTGTAATGATATATCGGTTATATCGATACGTTTGTCTTGGTCCCTGCCAACTTCCATTATAACCTAACGGAAGCATCCTCGCATATATCGATATCGCATGTATCTATATTTCGGATATATCGATGTGGATTTTCAACCCCAACGCACATATATTACCTCTTAAAACGATAATTTGCTGCACAAGTTTGTTGTGGAAGAGCGGTCTCGGTACGCTTGTTTTAATGCATAAATATCGGCTCGATTAAATACAATGACGCGGAACATGTTCTGTGCGTACGTAACTATCGTTTTGTTCTCAATACAGGTGAATTCATCTCAAAAAATAAAAGCATGGTTTTGTCCTTTTATTGTTTCCTTTCAATAACAATTTTCGTTGTAAATAAGTTATACATGTACATGTAGCTAAAACAGTGAACATGTCAGAAAAACGAAAAAGAAAAATTTTGGATATTGAAACTAAATATAAATTAATTCAAGAGATTAATCTTGGTAAACGTAAAAAACAGGACATTGCAAACGATTTTGGAATTAAACAAAACACATTAAGTTCAATCTGGAAAAATAAAGATTCTGTCATCAATGCATACGATAATACATATGATAATCGGAAAATTCAAAAATCCTAGATGTTTTAAAAATGTTAAAAGTTTGCCGGTAGATTACGAAGCTAATCATCGTGCTTGGATGAACTCAGAAATATTTATCAGTTGGGTGAAAAAACTTGACAAACGTATGACACGTGAGAAAAGATCTATTCTATTGTTTGTTGATAATTGCCTGGCCCATCCGAAAATCGAGGGATTAAAAGCTGTAAAACTGTTGTTTTTCTCACCTAACACTACATCTAAGTTACAGCCCTGTGATCAAGGGATTATCTTTTCATTCAAAAGGCATTACAGGTCACGTGTCCTTGACCATATTATTTCATGTCTAGACAAACATATCGATAAACAGATTAACATTCTAAAAGCCATACAATGGTTTTATGCGGCATGGAAAGATGTAACACCGACGTGTATCCAGAATTGTTTTAGAAAGGCTGGATTTATGAATCAAGCACAGCATGAAATTAATGCGACCCCGCAGGGGCATGTTTCTGATTCGTCTGACACAGACGAGTTCGAGGACGATGACATTCCTCTGGCTGAATTGGCATCGAAATGGAATCGCCTTAGAGTATTCAGCGACATGGACAAAAACATTTCTTTTGATGATTACATAAATGCTGATGAGAATGTTGTCTCCGTTGAGCAGAAGTCCGATAGCGATATAATAGCGGAGGTACAGCAAAAATTGAAACCCGCTGAAACCCTGTCGCAGAGTGACGAAGAGAGTGACTCTGAGACTGTTGATGACCCCCCCACCCACCATGAATGAGTTTCTTAATGCTATAGACATTTGCAAACGCTTTGTTCTTTCTAAGTCTGATTCGTGTGATTCTGTTTTCGGATGTTTACATGAACTTGAGAAATTTTCAGTTGAAATAGGGAAAGCCAAAAAGCAGACAAAATTAACTGATTTTTTCCGACAGTGAATGTCTTTGTACATGAACAAAACTTAAACAAGATTTACCCATGAGTGTAAATAGTTAAAAAAGCAATTTAATTTTGACGTTTTTTTTTCCAGTGTATAAATTTAAGCCAATGTAAGGTTACCAGTACCTGTGTACATATTACTTTCGGTTTATGTCAGTTTTGTGTTTATTTTGATGTGCAACTGATTTTTTATGCATTCAACATTGATATGCATAAAAAGAATAAAGTTTTGTCGTAAGTACATGATTGTCACATGTCTAGTATATAATGCTACTGCTTATACATGTTGAACGATGCAGTGCATCGTCAGTAAGCTACACACCGTACAGAAATTCGGTTGTAACGATATTCGGATATATCGATATAGTTTTGTATGTCCCCTGAATGTCGTTATAAGCGGAGTTTACTGTAGTTTGTTTTAGTCCTTTAATCTATTCTTATGCAACGGAAATGCATTTTTCAAGTCTTGAAATCTGTTTTCTAAAAGGAAGAAAAGCACATGTGTAGGTACGCTTTGTGGACAACGGGAACTTGCAATATCCAGCACAGTGCGAGGGTCATACATGTTTCAAAAGTAGACGTAACGCAATAGGTTTACAATCTTTCATATTTGCCTTCTTATGAATGCTAGATGATTCTGACATTATCAAATGCCAAATGTTGCCCCTGGGTATTATTCCTCAAGTTCATTTAATGTCATATGTCTGAAGTAATAGATTGTGATATAGTTACCTACATTCGGACTCTTGTTGAATTGCTGTGTTCGGTGTCCTGTTTAAAATATTTCCAATGGCTTCTTATATATGAATGGAAACGAAAAATGCGCACTAATTTAATATAATCTTTCATTGTATTGTGTTTCATTGAGTATCATTGAGGTATTAAACGAACTGGAAATAGCACTCGACCTTTCTAGAATTCATTTCACAAGTACTTATCAGTATTGAAAAACTATTTGTGTTTGATAGAAATATATGACACAATCACGCGCGTTTGACTTTTTTCTTGGTGAAACCCTTATGATATGATTGGCATGAAGCTGAGATTTCAACATCATTTGTTTGTTATGCACTTGAGTAAGACACTTTGAAGGATGACAACATTAAGCACTTCAAACTGATTCATACTTTATTATTTCTAGCTGACACTAGCACTCGTTATTTTTTATGTTGGTACATGATAATAGCAAGTCAAACACGAATTTTTGTAACAATAAACATAGAAGTTTAAAACTGTTTTGTTATTTATTCAACTTATTTTTACAGAACTGATACAGAAGAAGAATTACAAAGGTCATTGGGCACCACTAACAGATAAAGACAAGATGTTTGAACTTTTTTTCTGTAAAACGAAATATGAAAATATCGTGTAAGATCAAAATTGTATGTAACATACCAATGAATGCACAAAAAAAACTACTCGATGATCACTTTCTATGACAATACTACATTAAATCAACGATTAGCTATAAAAGAAGGCCAAGGCCTGACGTTTTTTAAAAAAAAAATACATGTAAGTCATTAATTGTTTTGTGACATGTTACAGTTGCGGAATGAATCTGACATTATCAAAAGATTACATGTCTGTTCCCTTGGTGTTATGCAAATATATAGTAACTTGGATATTGAATTCGTAAGCTAATGACCATTACGAACAATGACCTTTAACTTGATTCCTAGCAACATATTATAAACTCTTGCTTTTCTAAAATAATTAGTGCCTAAAGGTTATGATAATTATTTCTACTATTTTGTTTTTGTTGGTGCTTTGCCAGCAATTTATTTCAAATTTATTATTATCCAGATAAAGAATTATATATTTATTGGCATAATGTTTGTTTTAAGTTACAAACATTTTAACTCCACTCTCCACTCTATATTTAAATACTGGTCGGCTACAATATATATTTTATGTTCAACCGCATTATGTGAAAAAAGTCAAACAAGTTAAATCTTTCCTTACTTACTTTTTTTATTCAAAATATATGCTTTCACAATCACTGACATAGTCTATCTAAATTCCCTACATTAAATTCTACAATTCAAATTTTAATTAAAATTCTGAAATGAGATTCCTCTGCTAAAGTTGATTATTCACATTTGACTCATTACTGTGCTGGTTTGTTTCTAATTGCCAGATGTGTCAGGAATATTTTGTTCTAAATTTAAAATTTAGAAACTCGGCAATTATTTCTGATTTAAAGCAAAACGTTTAAGTTGCATGGGAAATGTTAGCTTTCTAAAAGTAGCTTAGTCGTCAACATATATGAATGGTGTTGCGTATAACTGGAATTTGCATTTTGAGTTCGGTTAATGAATCAAATATGTTTCATAAGAATTTATTATTTACAGAACTGTGAGCGATTAAAGTGTGTACGTGCTTGTTGAAATTGTTTTGGAAGCTGACCAGAATACCGATATATTTAAAGTGAAATTATGCTGATACACGTGTAAATGGTTGGTGTACAGGTCAAAGTTAAAATAACTTAAGATTTTCCCATAATTGCATTCAAGTTAGAATTCTACTTTTTATGTTTAATCAATATCACCATTGACTCACAGAAAATTCTATAAATATCCATCGATGAATTGAAATTTATAAGAATGGGCAGTCTTCTTATATTTTAGGCAGTTGTTATATTTTATTACAAACAGTTTTTCATTATCAATTATTGGTCAATGGCCTTGACAATGTATGTTAAGTCTCTCAAAGGATCATACAAACTGTCATGCATTAGTTCTGTAGAAAATCTGCGTAGTCATGATTTGAAATTGTTCTAATTTTCTGATTTAAAAATATATACATTACGATGACAATTACTATAATATAATCAATGAAATAGATACATTTATTGAGAGTCATAAACGATAAACGTTACTGTTTTTTGTTGGTTTTTTTTTGTTGTTTGTTTCTTTTTTGCTGCTGCTGCTGCTGTTGTTTAGGTCCCTTAATAGCTTATGCTATGTGTTTATCAACAAGTATCTCATTTTTGCGAAACTCGGGACTTGTGAAATAATGCTTGATATTATGTCAAACAAACCAAATGCTCATATTTTCATTCGTGTCATTCCTTAGTCTCAATTATTGCATATAGTGGCAACAGTTTATTCAACATTTGACTTGATTATTATTTGAACAGTGATAATCATCTTTTGTGTTTGTATTTCAAACTTTTAATTAACATTTAGTTAAGATTATTTTGTAGTACTAGTGACTAGTCATATTTCAGCAAAATTGTTACATCATCGATAACATATTCATTCTTAATTTCAACAAAAGCTAATAAATATTATGAGCGATAAAAACACTATTCGTATATAGAACGTTGCAGTTGCTTAAAATACCTTATATGACAGAGGTTGAGGTGTCAAACGATACTGACAACTTAAGAAGGTTTCGCTTATGATTATTATTAGGTAGCCGTAATTGACATCATGAAAATAAAGAATTTTAGATTTTACAACTATCATTTCAGTTTGCATCTGCCCATGTCAACTAATCATGTCAAATTATATTTTAATTACTTCTTTGTCGCAATCGAGACAATTGCTTTAAATTACAGACATTTATTCGTGTAATTCTTTTCTGTGTTGTAATGTTTGTTTGACCTTTGGAATCATTGATTCCAGCACATAAGTGTTAACGATTCAATACCATTTTAGCCGGTGCTAGGGGGCATAAAAGATGTTGCATTTTTACATTTCTCATGAACATACTCAATCGAACCAAGTCAATTGTGAAATTTTCATAATTATTATAATGTTAAGTTTCAGATTTAAGGACCAGGATTAAAATCTATATTTTGAATTTTCTCCATTGTTTTTATTTACATACACTTAAGATTCAATGTTTCTCTTAAAGGTTGATACTTGAAATGAATAAGACTATTACATTTTAGAAAGACATTATATTATAAGTTATTTACGATTAAATGCATGATCTCTTTTCATATGGTTATTATCATGTTATTATTATGATATGTATTGTTATTCGTACATTTCGTCCTAAATGAGTTTTGACATCTGCGGATGTTTCTAAATTCAAAATTTCGTCATTTTCGTGTTTAAATGTTGAATTCTGCTTAAGCCGGTGCTAGGAGGCATGGACGGTTACTTGCAATCTCCAGTACCGTCCATGGACTGGCTCAATCGAACCGCGCCTGCAACATTTTCAATTTTGCCATAGGGATTCTGCTTTTCTCTATTTTATTTTTTTAATATGTACCATATTGTTTTAGCTAAATATGATCAATGTTAGTTTCATGCAGCATTTAAAACAAAATCAGTTTTTTCCCTTATCCTGCTATTTCCTTCGTGAACGCAGATCAGGTGTAGAGTTGTACCTAGATCATTTATTTTGTATGTAAAAACTTAAAAATTATTTATCGTTATGTTTATATTGGTTTTTAAGTTAAGTTTAATTTTGTTTCAAGAAAAGATTTGTATCTGAATGTATTTCCTACTTCCTTGAACAAATAAATCACATAACAATTAATGTTACTCGCCATTGTGGTGATGCGTTTATTTCCTACAATGTTGATACATGTTTTTGTCTTGCAAGTACCTAGAAACCCTCGACATTCATACCATAATTAAGACTCTAAGGCCAGACAATGTATTCTTTAACTAGACCCGAAACCTATTTCCTTCTCTTAAACCATAAATTTTTTCACGTTTTGTAACAGGGAAATGTTGATAATGATTTTGAGATCGTAGTTTGTAACTCCTACTTCAAATTGTAGTTCCGGAATGTAATAAATTGCCGTCATTTTTCCAGTTTCTAAAGGTAAATAGATGACAATGCATTGCAACAGCTGATACACCGGTGCGTGTTCAAATGCCA